AAAAAAAAAAAAATATATATAATTTATATATTTTCTTCAACCCGTGGGGGGCGGGGGGGAAGCAGATTCCTCCAACGCTGTGAGCATGTTGATGGAGGAATCCCTGCTGTTTCTTTTGTATTCTGGCAGCTCATTGGCTGCCGGCTCTGTTCTTGCGAAGACTTTCCAACTGGCTCCTTTTGATCAGCTGATTGTGGCTGGTTCCTCAGGATCCGACCGAAATCCACAGTGTATGGCCACCTTTTACTTGGTATGTTTGTGGTCACTGCATGTTTCCTCAACACCGTAGAAATTTCTGACTTAATAAGATTATAGATTGTCCATTGTCCCTCCACCAAAATGTGTGCGCTGTATATCCGCAATCTTTGTTTTGGAAGCCATCTTTCCTGTGTTTGAAAACCACTCCGAGGAGAGATGAAGAATAGGCCATCTGCAAGCACATACTGTAAGACCAGCTGACTCTGCCACACAAAATAATAGAATTCTTGGTGTTGAGGTATCTTTACACTTCATCACACTGTGCTGCCATTGCAGCTGTTCCCCTTCACTGGAGCGGACTTTACCCTTCTGCTTATACATGACGCTGTCATTTTACTGCAGTGACTTGTGTTTCTGCTTCAAAGTCTTTTCATAGAGCTAGTTGTACAGACAATGGCATCTTTGTGGGGACATCTATCTGCCACTGTGTGGGACCCCCTCTTCGCCTTCCGAACAGTTTGACTTCTTTGATTTGTAAATTCAGCAAGATGCCGGAAACGTTTTTTTTTTTGGGATGTTTTTACAAAAGAACTGTGGGCCACACATCCATGCTGAAAACTTTGTTCCACCTCGGCCCATAGATTTCACGCTGTGTAATCCAAATTCTGAGCCTGCTATTTGCATGCGGCAGCAGTGATGGAATTGTTAGACCATGGCATTGGATTATCCGTTCAAATCAGGGTGGCCTCACAAACTTTCAAATGTCCCCTCATGTTCCTGCACTGTCCATGGTGATTGAATTAAAGTGTAGTTACACTTTTGAAGTGAAATTTGAGAACGCCACACTGTTTTCTATTCACACAACATATCCATTTTAAAAAAAAATGTCTTACCTTTTTATGGGTACTTTGGTGAAGGCCTTTGTGCAGATTGCAGACTACTCTGAGCAGTTTGATAGTGAAACTAGAGATTCATACTGAGTGACAGACAGAGCTTCCTGTCATTAACATTCAATGCTTCAAACTAGAGATTCATAGTGATGGACATGCGGAGCTTCCTTTCACTAACCTACAATGCTTCCAAGTCTTAAACCCTTTGTTAGGACCGACATTGTACAACTGATGACATTTGCCAGCATTGTACAGACGGTGCTAGAGAAGACATAAATTCCCACAGCCGCCTCCCACATTTCTATTTTGTGAATGGGAACATGTAAAAAGATAAATAAATAAATAATACAAAATTTATAACAATTGGCTGCAAAATTACGGTGGCTTATCCGTGCGTCTATAATGCCGGGGTATGTACAGACACTCAGAACTTAGGAAGCTGTTTAGGTAAGCTGAACAAGCTCAGGTGATTGTGACTGACTACTGCTAGCTTTGTGTAAATTGTTTTTCCAACCTGTATGTTTTTAAAGTGTATCTAGTACTGCTAACTACCAGGGATGCGCCGAAATTCCAAACTTCGTCTGAAAACATTACTATGGACAAAATGCTCTAGCTTCTCTCCTCCCCGCTGGGTGCCAGCTGCAAGCTTCAGTCTGTTTCCCCCCCAGTCCCTACTGCTCTCCTCCATCTGTGTCGGCAGAGGGGATTGGAGGGGACACGGAGCGGGTCCAGTGGGGAGGAGAGAATCAGTCTGGCCCCTGAGCGGGGCAGTGGGGGGTGGAGAGTTGCCAGGATGCCTAGCGGGGCGTAAAGCTCTGCTGCGGTAACGGGCAGGAAGGGGTGGAGCAGTCGGGATGGATGAATAGGTTCCCAAAATGTGTTTGTTTTATGTTAAAAAATGATGGTAACCTGTGGTTAAACTCCATTCTATAGTGTAAACTTGGCCATCATTTCCCTTTTCTCTGTATCTGCAGAATGTTCTCATCTCCTTCTGGCACACAACGCTCCAGTCAAGGTGAAGAACGCTCAGGGCTGGAGCCCCCTGGCTGAGGCCATCAGCTACGGAGACAGACAGATGAGTAAGCACCTCTCTCGATTTGCACAGCACATTGGCCGCCTGTTCTTCTGTCTTTTTGAATATAAATGGAATAGACAAATAGGAGAGTGGACCAGTTCAGGTCTTGGCTGCGGTTTGTTCGTCTTTATAAATGCTGATTGTGAAATAATGACGTCTAGTGTCAAGTCTCCTTAATGCTGCCTGAAGCTGAGCACGTGCTGTATCACTGCCAGGGTTTGTTCTTCTTTCCCCCCTTCGTTCTTTTCTCACAGTGATAACTAATGGGTTTCAGATCAATACAATGACATGACAGAATTTTGTTACATCTGTATCCCTCATTACACCGAGTGACTTTAATGTACTATATATTATACTGATATCAGTAATGGACGTTTCAGTTAAGTCATTAACCCCTTCATGACTGAGGCCCTTTTTTTCATTTTTTGCACCCATGTTATATTCCACATTTTAGGCCTGAAAATGACATAAAACCCCCCAACATTATATATTTTCTGAATGCCAAGACCCTATAGAATAAAATGGTGGTAGTTGAAAATTTTTATGTTGCGCAATATTAGCGCAACTCCTTATTAAACCCCAAAATTTAGTGACAAATTTAATTAAATGCCCCAAAACACAACAAATTACCCATTTTTTTAATGAAATATAAAAGATGAGGTTACAACGAGTAAAACGATACCCAACATGCCCAGTTTACAGATTGCGTGCGACCGTGAAACGGCGAAAAACTGCAGTACCCCAAAAAGTCAATAAAAGACGCTTTAAAAGCCCCCACAGGTCATCAATTTAGAGATACCCCAAAATACTGGCCCTAGAATTATTGCTCTCACTCCGGCGTGCGCGGCGATACTCAACATGTGTAGCGCGTTCGTCGTTTTCATGTGTAGGCGCACCCGACACGTGTTTACGTGGCGACGCGCGTGCTCGCCGGGGACTTTTAAATTTTTTTAAAATTATTATTAGATTTATTATTTCATTTTAATTGAAAAAACTTTTTTTTTTTTTTTAATGTAATAGCAGATGATGGTGACAGGTCCTCTTTAAGGTGATGCTGTGGGTCCAAAAGACCCCCAGTGTCACCTTTACACTGGAAATGAGCTATTGAAGTGCAGATCGCACTTCAATAGCTTATAGCTGGGCTGCAGGAGCCCAGAACTGACAGCCCAGGGACCGGAAGTGATGCAATCTGCATCGCTCCCGGTCCCATAGAACGGGGAGGGGATCGATGAACGGAAGTTCGTCGACCTCCTCCCCAGCTCCCCGCGGACACAAAGATCGCCGGTCCCGGGCCCGTAGGAGGGGCAACGGAGCCCGGGAAGCACGGCGGGGGTGTCCGGCGGGGGGGGCGGCCCCTTCTTCGGGACGCAGAAGCGATCTGGCGACAGGTAAGTCGCCAGGATCGCTTCTGTTGTAAAGCCGACAGTCGGCTCTACAAGTTTAAACAGAGTCCCGGCGGCAAAAGTCACCGGGAGTCTGTCTAAACAGCCCCGATGCTGGTGACGTACACTGTACGTCGTCAGTCACGAAGGGGTTAAAGGATCAATCCGCCCAAATCTATTTCTGTTTCCGGGTAGATGCAGTTAGTTGAATCTACCATATGTGTCCAACTTCAGAAATTAAATCTCTCTCCTTTGGGTCCCTGGCTCTCCCCATTTGCTGTTTTGCAGGCATTTATTTATCACAGGTTTTTATTAGGGATGCACCAATACTAGTATCTGTGCCGATACCAAGTATATGGTACTTGCCCAAATGCTCCAATACTTCCGATGCCAAAAATACGGTCAGAGAGATCTCCCTCTGACCGGCAGTGCCGAGGGAGCGTGCAGCCGGCTTGCTTTCCAATCAGGAAGCTGTGCAGTGGGTTATGAACCGCCTACCGGCTTCCTGATTGGAAAGGAAGCCGGCTTCACTTGCTGCTAGAATTTCTGGCTTCCTAATCAATCAGGAAGCCTGACGGCACCTCATGGCCTGGCTTCCTGATTGGTCAGGTAGCCAGGCGGCCTCGGCATGTGAAGCCGGTTTCTTTCAATGGAACACCAGCTTCCCAGGCAATCGGGAAGCCGGGCAACAGATCATGATCCGCCGCCCGACTGGGGCACACAGTATCGGTACTCTGTATCGGCGAGTACAGAAAAAAAAAAATATTGGTACTCGATACGAAAAAAAACGGTATCGGTGCATCTCTAGTATTTATACAATGTTGACCATTTACACAGTGATTTTATATATTGTACATTCACATCACACCCTGCCCTCTAGGAGCTTACAATCTAAGGTCCTTTCACACCTCACATACATACACATTAGTACGTGGCATTGGATTTTTGTTGTTGTTAACGAACCTCGTCAGAAATGTTATAAACCCTTGCAGTGGGGCTACCCTCACAGTGCAAGGGTTAACTGCTTGTTTTTGCCTAGGGTCAAAGCAGGCAGTATCACATGTTTATGACCCCTGAGACTTCAGTAGGAACACTTGAAAATGCCTAATCACCAGATGACTCCTAACAATATCAAGCCTGTGAATAAAATTGAGGATTTAGGGGCGTCCATGCCGGATGTGGGGACTTTTATCCACCTGACGAGGACCCACAAGAACTATGACCCCAGTGATGTCTACTATAAGAACTGTGTTCCCCAGCCAGACTGGTGTGTAATGGTCCTAACGTTGTTTTGCTAGGTCTGTTATTGATCTGATGGTCTGCAGTCATTGTAATGGTGGTCCCTCTTGCACTGCATCATTGATTTGGCTTAGTGTATGTATGCAAAGGTGGGGAGATCGATGAGGAGAACAGAAGCCAGCACGGTTTTGTGGTTGTATCATTCATAAATATTTCTGTTTCAGTTACAGCATTGTTAAGAAAGCTGAAGCAGCAGTCCAGGGAGAGTGTAGAGGAGAAGAGGCCGCGCCTATTAAATGCTCTGAAAGAGGTAAATGATGGCAAGCGTAATCTGTCCGAGGCTGACTGTCAACAATGGCAGCTTCAGTACCACGTTACCCTTTTTCCAGGTTGGCTTGCAGCCCTACTGATGTATGTTGGTGTCCATTGATAACATCACATTTCTGGCTTGTTTCCATTCACAGCTGGGAGACTTTTACCTAGAACTTCACTGGGATTTTCAAAGTTGGGGTAAGTTTTTATTTTTTATTTTGGGGTATTTTAGCATAATTGGAGAGAGTTTGGGATAAAAGTGTTGAGATGTTCTATGTTAGTTTTTTTGTATTATGAAAAAAAATCTGTACACTTGGGGATAGTAATTGGATATTATTTCCTGCTGTCAAAAAGTGTGATTTCTATGCGGAGGAACTCCATTTTCTTTGTATTGGCGAATTCCTAGAGATTCTCACTGTGCCCATCTACGAGGCATCCTTCAGCACTGGCTGGATGGATGTGATGGGCATCAGGGTTTAATGTGCAGTTCCTACCAAAACATATTAATTTTAAGGCTCCAACCAGCAAAGGGTTATAACTTGTTATGCTTCTGGAGGAAGAGGTAAGAACAGGAAGTCCGCGTTGGAATGATGTCATCAAAAATGTTTGATTACAGTAACCGGTTTAAACTAAACCCTGAGAAGCTAAATATATTTAATTTCAGGCATATGACATCTTAACCTTTGCAGTGGGGGATATCCATGCACCGCAGGGGTTAAGAGCTTGTTTTATGTGGGGGACTCAAAGCCGATTTTACTTGATCCTTGGTCCCACTTGCTCCTACTGGGCTGCTAGACTGGTCCCTGCAGCATTGCTCCCCCTCTGCTCTGGCAATGGGACTATCCCTCGGCGTCCATGTCCAGTACAGTGTATTGGGTGTGATGACTTATGGAGCCTTAGAATGTTGGAGTGGAGGGGGATAGAGGCTGCAGAGAACAGTCTAGCAGCCAGCTGGGTCTGAGATTCGAATGAGTATCTTTATTTTAGCTTCCAAAACAACATAACAAGTACTTAACCCTTGCAGTGTTGGTGTTTAATCTTTCCACTGACTAAAAAATAAACTGGGAGTTGGGTTTTGGGTAGTGGGGAGGATTCAGAATCTGCATTGGCCATACTTCCCCTTCCTGCTTCAGTGACACTTGTCATCTGAACCGGAAGTCGGGGTAACTCTCCCTTGCTATATGGGCTGAAATTAAAATAATTTTGGAACAATTTTTGTCATCTTAATTTGTCCCCCCCCCACCCCCCCCCCCCCCCCCCTCCAGTTGCTCAAAAAACAATCCCCTTCTCCAGCTTTGCCCCCAAATGACTCTCTGTGGGCCAGTGGCAGTCTTCTATCTTGCGTGACATCAGCATCACTTGTGAAAGCAGGGTGTCACTGCGTCCTGCACTCGCAGTGCAACGATGCAGAGAACTGAGATGGTGCCAGCAACATTCCCTGCATTGTTGGGGGCTGCTAATTGCTGGATAAAAGGATCCTTTGTATTGCGGGGCCAGAAAACATTTGAAAGGCAAGTATACCAAGAATTGCATGCAGTGAGAACCAGAGGGCGGAGGGTTGTGTTGAGCGGGGAATTTGGGATTTGAGTATTTATAGGTGCCGAATATGCTGTTCAACTCTGGCTCTTTATAATCATTAAATGCCGTATCTTTCTGTTCAGTGCCTTTACTGTCCCGTATCCTGCCTTCCGATGCATGCAAGATCTATAAACAAGGTATTAATATCAGGTGTGTGTCCATCTCTTTTATTCTTGGGCTAAGTGAGGTATATTTTGTCATTAACACAGTCTTCCTAATAACATCTTTAACATTACACGGTTTATTAATCTTGAGATTTGGTGACTGACTCCGGGGTCCACCCTTATTATAAAACACAAACACTTCCTTTAGAGAAGCCAGCGAGTACAAAGTAACCCCCTGGTATGGGTCACCTTATCTCAAGTGCTGCATGATTTGTGTACATTGTATTACCAGTACCATATAAATCTAATCCCTTAACAAAGAATCCCTTTTGTGTTCCTAAGTAACTCAAAATGATCCGCTTCATGATTTTTCTAAATTGTAAGTGAAGGGGGGACCCCTTGAATCTGGCAGCAGCCCTCTGGGGTACATGTGCCGTTTGTTCAGAAGCCTATAGTAGCTGTATGAAGTCCTTGCTGGGTTGGATACATAATGAAGAATTAAAGGGCTGAAACGCTAACCTTTCCTGGAAGAAATGTTGCTCTGGCTTTCCTCCAGTGCTGCTGGCAGAATCCAAAACCTAGACCATGACTGAATAGATGAATCCAGTTCAGATTGCCTGAGCCCCCCAGGTGAGGTCTTGTGACCAGAGGACCAGGCCATGTGCAGAGCATTAGGGAGAACATTGTGTTTTAATTAGGTGTAAATTGCAACTGAGTGACAATTAGTTTGATGAACCCCTGTGCATTTCAACTCCCTTTGTTACAGCTCAGTGCAGCAAATCTCTTGCAGCTGCTTTGTAACCACTTCCCGTCTACTCGCCTTCTAGTGATGTCTGCATGGCATTTCTCAGGGTGGGTTTCCTCATGGTGACAACAGTGGACCGTGCCTGTGTAGTGTCCTAAAAAGGCCACTAGTCTTCATAGGAAGCCAGGGACAGAGCCCTGTAATGGGTGAAGTACCTGAGCAAGGACCCAGCTGGGTCACCAGGTATTTTAATGAAAGCTGCCGATGTTAAAGTAATGTAAAAAATTAAATTTTTACATTTTTAAAGTCTGTATAAAAGATTAGGAGAGAGATCAGCAGTGAGCGGTCTTTATTACAGCAGGAGGCGGAGACCAGACCAGTCACCCTGCACGAGGAGAGAGAGAGCAGTGACTGGTCTTTATTACAGGAGGGGACGTAGACGAGACCAGTCGCCCTGCACAAGGAAAGAGCAGCAGTGACCGGTCTATTACAGGAGGGGGGGGGGGGGGGGGAGACTAGACCAGTCATCCTGCACGAGGAGAGAGGGCAGCAGTGAGCAGTCTTTATTACAGGAGGAGGCGGATACCAGACCAGTCACCCTGCACGAGGAGAGAGGGCAGCAGTGAGCAGTCTTTATTACAGGAGGGGGCGGAGACAAGACCAGTCATCCTGCACAAGGAGAGAGCAGCAGTGACGAGCCTTTATTACAGAAGGGGGGCGGAGACTATACCAGTCATCCTGCACAAGGAGAGAGAGCAGCAGTGACGAGCCTTTATTACAGGAGGGGGCGGGGACCAGACCAGTCACCCTGCACAAGGAAAGAGCAGCAGTCTATTACAGGACTATTACAGGAAGCTCCAAGTCCCACCCTGGATTACTGCACAGATCTGGAGGAAATGCACACAGCTCACCAATATTCATGGAAGACTCCACATGGATCTTGTATGGGGACAATATTTGCTCATATCAGAGTTCAGCTTTAAGCACTTCAGCCGTTTCATGACTTTTAATCCTCCCCAGTAACACTGTTAACACAGCTTAGAGCTAACATGTAAGTGGAAAGTTTTTAAAGAAGCTTTTCACTATAATAGAAATCATGGTAAACTTTGCCCTGTCCTGATTCCCCAACAATAGAATAATAATCTGTTACCAGTGCTGGTGAGTGGCTGCAAGGCCGGACTGACCCAGTGTAACACCGCCTGCACTGGAAAGGATTTTGGCGCCTGAAGAAAGCTGATTATCTTTGCCAAACTCGGTTAGCCTTGGAGCAGCTTGGCAGCGCGCAGGGTAAACAGCTGATCCGCAAGGGGTTCAGAACAGGACACGGCAAGGGGGAAGGTTTTCAGACTGGAACCCGAAAAGGTCTTTGCAGAATATACGGTAGAGTTCCTTTGTGAAGTGCGGCACGCTGTTTACAGTAGAACTGATGTACTGAATCTCCATATAATAAACTATTTTAGAAATGTGTGAAGTATTGACATCTGTTGGAGCTTTTACACGCAAGGCCTTAAAGTGGCAGTGTATCACGGCGTGTGGCTTCTGGGCTGTCACATCCCAGCAAAGGCACCAATGCAGAAACCTAAAAGCCACAAAGGTTCTGACTTTAAACTTTTTTATCGGAAAGCGAGCTCACCAGCACTGGTGTAGAAAGTCTAAAGCAAGCACAAGGAAATTCCAACCTATGTCTATATAAAGCTGAACTCCAGGCACATATAAAAGCATTTTAAAGAAATCTGGTTAAGAGAAAACATACTGCTGCGGTCGGGCTACCCCCACACTGCAAGGGTTAAATTCTCATTTTGTCTAGGGGGCTCAAATAAAATCTACTCGCCCGATCCTCTGTCTTGTGGGGGTCAGCTCTCTCCCTCTCCGCTCTGTCCCTCGGCTTCCTCACATCCTAATGCAAGTCCATGGACCTGCAAAAGACATGACAGCGTCAGCAGTCCTTAGATCACCAAACCTCAGGGGAGAAGAGGCTGCAGGGACCACAGATCAGGTTAGTATGTCCGTGTTATTACAGCCCCCTAGACAACATGAGCACTTAACCCTCGCAGTGTGGGGGTATCCCCCTAGTACAAGGGAAAGATATAGATATATATTCATATTTTTTTTTCCCCTTAAGCTGCCCACACACCTTACAATTATCTGCAGACTTTCTGTGTTCAGATGGAAAAGGTGCAACAGATTCCTCCATCTACGCTAAACTGTGTGCATGGAGTAATCTCCACCTGGGCCAATCTGTTGCACTTTTTCCATCTGACCACAGAAAATCTGCAGATAAATTGTAAGGTGTGTGGGCACCTTTACCCAGAGTTCTTCCTTGAACTGCTTTAATTCAAGTCCATGAATTGTACTTTGTATAGGCAAAATCCCCCTGTATAGCAGAGCTCAGACTTGGGCTGGCCATACACCTATCCATTTTCTTTCATTCAACTCACGGGTAGAACGAAATAAATGGACCCGATTCCGCCAACACAGCACGTCAATTGAGGAATCCCACAGTTTACTTTGCTGCCGGCACCTGTCGGAATACCCGATGAGAGCGGGCAGCTCATTGGCTGCCGGCTCTGAAGGATGGAACATTTTCCAGCAGGCTCCTTATGAGCAGCTGATCCAGGAATGACGGCTGAAAGGGAGCCGACAGCCCCGCACACTGTGTGAATTTTCGGCCAGTACATTAAAAACTGGGATAACTTGGACCAGTGTATGGGCACCTTTTGGAGAGGGACAGCGCAAGGAGCCCATCGGTTATGCAGCAGTGCTCATGTGCTAACAATGAACATGCTGATTGGATGAGAGCAGTGTGATGGAGTGATGAGCTAACAGCCTGTTGCTGCTGTACTGGCAGTCACGGGGTGAGTGTGGCGGGACCTGAATTTATAACTTAACTGCAGTAGAAGAAAAATTCAGGTCTCCTTCCCTGCCAGACAGGGCCATGCTGTGTAGCTGAGTTGTGTAAAATCTCAGGACTGGAAGGACAGATATACACATCATGGAAGGTAAATCCACTCCCTTATATTGTCTTTTTTTGCTGATTGCTTGCCGTTCAGCTTTAAAGGAGAACTATGAGGCGAGTGATTTTTCCCTCACCTCATAATCTGAGCCGACGTGTGACAATGAAACTGTCACACGTCTACTCAGTAGATCGGGAAGTGAGCGAACGCATACCGGCGCTCCCTCACTTCTCGATCTATCCCTGCAGAGAGCCGTGACTGTCACTCACCGCTTCCTGCAGGAATCCTCTCCCCGCTCTGATAGTCCAGCGCTGACTGGCGGAACGGACGGGGGAGGGGGCGGGTACAGCTAGCTCTGCCTCTGGATAGGCAGAACCAGCTGTCACTCACGCAGCTGGGTGGATCCAGACAGTATTGTTGGGATCCGTCCCGGCTGCGGCGTCTCAGTATATCGCGAGCTACAGCTTGCAGTATACTGAGCTTTGGGTCACAGGAGAACGCTAGTTTGTGTCCTCCCGTGACACTTAGGAGAACTATGGGGAAAACCCTGACCCCATAGTTCTCTTTTTAATGCTTATGAATAATTTGTGTTAAGGTCCTGTACACAGTTTTTATAGCATTCGTTATTTCTTATACTTCTATGATGCCTGCAGAATAGCGGCTGTGATAGCATACTAAGGCACATAATTCTTCATGTATCAGCCAGTTGGTATCCTGCTCAGCTGTTGCGATAAAACGCTTAGATCGCATTTTCACTCAATCTCAGCAGTCAGGCTGTAGGTTTTAAAATGGGGGGTGGGGGGAACGTGGTCATTTGACCTAATTTTAAAAGTTGATCTTCTGGTACTTTCACAATTTTATTGTGAAAGATCACAAAGGTTTTTATTGCACATACCGGAGGTGCTGAACTATGAATTCATTCTGGTGCCTTACAGTTCTCTTTAAAACAAAAAGTGCACTTTGCACTCTGCTGTTTACACCCAGCACGGCAAGTCACGCTGTCCTGTCCGCACAACAGCTCCATAGACTTTTATGGGATGGTCTTTAATCCTCACAGGCCTCAGGACAGCACCCCGTAGAGGTACAACCATTATAGTGAGACTTGTGCTGCTGGATGTAAACAAAGACTGGAGGCCACGGCTGTCAGATCAAGGGGAGGATGCATCTGTGGGAAGGGGGGGGGGGGTACAGTTAGGTCAAGGGAAGTGGGCAAAAGAATGCATGCACTTCCTCTGCCATGAGTTGATCACAATTTCATGTTTTTTGGGTGTTTTTTTCAACAAAGATAGGACTATGTCTACAGGTTGTGGTCAAACTTGCATTATCTTTTTCCCCTGGTAGTGTTCGGTTAAGTTGGACAGGAAGTTAGTTCTGATTTAGGAATACATTTCCCCTCGTGGTGTCTTAAACATAAGTGATGCAACACATTGTAGCAGAATGTCCATATGGTTCAAGTTGTTGGGACTGTCTTGATTGGCTGGCTGAGTCATCCGCATTGTTTCCTGTTGCAGGCTTGACACCACTCTCATAGACTTCACCGACATGAAGTGCCAACGAGGGGACCTCAGCTTCATCTTCAACGGCGATGCTCCTCCCTCTGAATCTTTTGTAGTTTTAGACAACGAACAAAAAGTTTACCAGAGAATACATCATGAGGTAAGTCTTTAAAGGGAAATGAGCAGTGACCACTTCTAATTCTATAGACCACTAACCCACTTCTGGCCCAGAGATCCGTTTTATCTGTTGCAGCCTTCTGTTTTCAAGGCTTCCTGTTAACTTCTACAGTTAAAGAGAACCTGTCGAGTTGGCTGGATTACAGTAAGGGATTTCATACAGGGGTTTAGGCACTGACTGGCCCCTGGAAACATGGATAGTGTGTTTTATATAGCGCCGGCAATTTACACAGCAACTTATATAGTGTACCTTCACCTCATTCCTTGCCCTCAAGGAACTGACTAGGCTCCCCATCTCCCATGCATACATACGAGGGCCAATTTAGACAGGAGCCAGTTAACCTTCAGGACTAGTTCACAGCAGATGCAGTTGTGCTGCGGTCCATTTAGTTTGGCAGCTGGATGAAAATCTTGTCGCAATGCTTTCCAATGGGATTTCTGGTGCGCTGTTCAAACCATTGCAGTCCGAAAAAATACTGCTTGTCTCATTTTAGCTGCACCTGATCACAACGGAATGCATCAAAACGCATGAACGCACTGGACCAACTGAAAACCCATTTTAAGCTTTAACAAAAAAAAAAACGTCAAACGGATCGCACTGCAGCTGTGCAGACGCACGCAGTTATGGTGTGAACCTGTCCTTTAAGCATGTGTTTGGTGTGTAGGAGGGAACCGGAGTACCTGGAAGAAAATCATGCAGATAGTGTCCAGCTAACCCCTAAGCCACTGTGCTGCCCAGAGGTTCAGAAGCAGCTCGTGAGCAACCATGATGGTTTATTTGTTGGTGTTTGGCAGGCATACTGTAAAGAAACTTTGCAAAGGATTTAATTGAACCTTTGATAAAAGTGCAGCCAAGCGTGATGGAAAATGGCTCCCTGATAGGTGCACCCGCTGCATTATGGGAGCTCAGAGCTATTGAGGCCCCCAGTATACTTTGATGGGGGTTGTCTAAGTTCTGACGTACAGCATACTGTGTACTTCCTGGCTTTCAGGAAGAGTTTAATGCCCCTTTGTACTGGCAAGTTTAATTCAATATTGCATAACATATATCACGCATATCAGGTTTAAGGATCCAACCCCCCAAAACTGTCACCAAAACAGACAAATCTGATGGGCTGACAGGAGCACTGGAGGTGTGTTTGTATACCCGTATTGCATGGCAATACTGTTCTGTGTCTATAGAGCCTTCCAGACCCCCCCATTTCCTCTATATTCCAGAGTGCAGCTGAATCATTGGCCTTCCATCTACCTCCCACAGTGCAATGCTCGGTCCTCCTTGGTCTGATAAACTATATTCTTGAACGCAGGTTTTAGTTCCAAGGTGATGGATTCTATTGTGCTCTATTGCCCCCTTTGTGTAATGTTTTGCTCGCGTTGTCCCCTTACCAGTGTTGATCAAGGATTCCCCGCTGTTTCTTTTGTATTGACAGTGGCTTCTGTCGGAATACCTGAACAGGGCCAGCAGCTTATTGGCTGGCCGCTCTGTTCATTTTGAAGATTTTCTGACCAGCTCCTTCGATCAGCTGATGAAGAGATGTCAGCCAAAGGCTGCCGCCAGCAGCACCCGCTGTGTGCATTCCAGCCAGTTTGTGAGGGACCGGATGGAATTCACATAATATGGCCAGTTGGCTATACACTGGGCAAGTTTTGGCCAGTTGTTGATGACCCGGCTTTAAATCCACATGTAGTGGGTGGTCCTGTCTGGCGTCTCATGAGCGACGTGCTTTGATTTAAAGGATCCAGGCAGTAAATTGTAGGCTCAAGTGTCTGCATCCATTTAGATACAGGCAGTGTTGGGGTATTCTGGCTGCCAGTGGTGACGACATTTAAAATACAAAAGCCGCAGTGTCATTTTTTTTTTTTTTTTTTTTTTTTTTTTCCGGCCACGCTAAACAGCCCGAAGGATGAATGAAAAACAATCTAACCGTGTATACCCCACCGTATACTCCGTATAAACCTTTCACCTTGCTGCATTTTGTGCCACGTCGTGTCCTGAATTGACCAACCCTTTCTTAGCAGGAATCTGAAATGGAGACTGAGGAGGAGGTGGATATTTTAATGAGTAGCGATATCTATTCAGCAACCCTGTCTACAAAGTCCATCACCTTTTCACGTGCCCAGACCGGCTGGCTTTTCAGGGAGGATAAAACGGTATGTTGGTGGAATACTGCAACTCCTCCTGTAAAGGTGCATTACAGCCAGTTGTAGATTAAACCTTCACATAGTACAGCCGACCAATCCAAGCGTTCTCGGATCCTGGAATGCGTCTCTGGAAGATGATTGAATGCTTTTCCTGTTGATTCTGACACGCAGAAATCCTGATGTACTACAAAGCCAGTGCTAGGAAGGTTCTCTGAGCCATCGGACAGACTTGTACTTGGTTTGGAAGATTACATATGGTTGGGGATGCAACATGCATTGATGCTGCATCACCAATGTAACTGGGGGGCGGGGGGGATTATGCAGCATTCAAAGGCCAATGTAGAATTGCAGAGTACAAACTCCATAGGATTGAATAGAAATAACAATGCATGTGTGAGCCC